CCTCAACCAGCCTCAAGTTCTTCATCCCTGCTGATTTTTCTCCAAGTCCTCCAGTTTACCATCTCACATGCTATGTAATTCACTTATTTTGTCTATTGCCAGTCCTCTTCACTAGAAATAAACTTCATTGTTCACTGCTTTATCCCTAGAATCTAGAACAGTGGTACCCAGTGGGCACTCGATAAGTATTTTCTGAACAAACAGTGAGTGGATGAATGGACTGATAATATTTTGAAATATGTGGATGGTTTACATATTTACAAAATTAAAAAAGAAACAGAAACAGAGAAAGTATTACAGGGAAATAAAAGAAAAGGAAAATGTTGCTTAGCTAAATAAATGCACATAGATAAAAAGCATGAGGTAACTCTAAGAATCTCCAAACTAAATTATTAAGTGAGAAAGCCAGGTGCATACATTAAAAAAATATACACATTCATATATACTTCTGGAGTGGACCCAAGAAACTGGTTATAATGTTTGTCCCTAGGGCTAGGGCATAAGAATGAGCAGGAACTTGTTTTTCAAGGCACACCACTTTGTATTATATTGAATTTTGTACCATGTGCAAACAATACTTGCCCCAAAACTAAAGTCAAATAATAATAATAAAAGGTTGCCATTGTGAGTTATACTAAAAAATTAACAATTGATTAGAACTAAGATATGCAAATTCTCCTTAGAAGAATGGATCCCAAGACTTGACTGTAAGACCTGTCTGAATTATTGCATAAGTAAACTTGTTCAGTGCCCACCAGTCACCATCCGGTGGAGAAATTTTGACCAACCCAACCAACTCTGAGTGTTTGGTTCAGTAGGGAGCCATAATTGTTTTATCCAAAAGAACATAAAGGACGAAACCTTATGTGCCCCATCCTCCCACCAACAAACTCTTCCTGGAGAAGTTTCCCTACTGAGCAAGGATGCTGCAGGACCAAGAAGAGGGTCTGCCCTCCCATAACCCTCATCTGAATATTTGAGTCACATCTGCCTATAGGCAAGGCCATCCTGACTTTGGGGATGTTACTGCTTGGTTTTTCCATTGTTGAGTTCATCTCTATTGTCTCTTCATTCAACGCTGGGGTTTCCAATAATCTCATAGCTTGTCCATGAAAAATTTTCACTTGTCCACAGAGAAATGAAAAAAAACACAGAACAGTCACTTTTAAAAACTTAATCTGGGGGCGCCTGGGTGGCTCAGTCGTTAAGCGTCTGCCTTCGGCTCAGGTCATGATCCCAGGGTCCTGGGATCGAGCCCCGCATCAGGCTCCCTGCTCTGCAGGAAGCCTGCTTCTCCCTCTCCCACTCCCCCTGCTTGTGTTCCCTCTCTCGCTGTGTCTTCCCTCTGTCAAATAAATAAATAAAATCTTAAAAAAAAAAAAAAACTTAATCCGTTGACTTTGTGTGGTGTCAAAATGCCTTCCATAGAATTCTAAAGCCTTGGTACCAATGATATTTCCAGTAGTATTTAATCTAATTAATCTCCTCTCTTCTAATTTCCATATTCATGAACAAGCTTTAGATCATTATTCTACTTTTCCCACTTGCCAGGAGTGAATACACTGGCCAGCCATAACTTCTTAGGATTCTGATTTCTGGATCAGTTGTTTCTATTGTAAATAAATAAGTGGCCAGGCATTTTGGTGTTTAGACATCTGTCTCAAGATTGTTTTTTTTTTTTTAAAGATTTTATTTATTTATTCATTAGAGACAGAGAGAGAGAGGCAGAGGGAGAAGCAGGCTCCCCGCCTAGCAGGGAGCCCGATGCGGGACTCGATCCCAGGACCCTGGGATCACGACCTGAGCCGAAGGCAGACGCTTAACCATCTGAGCCACCCAGGCGCCCTGTCTCAAGATTGTTTAATGTGAATGTGCCACAGAAGAAAAATTTGCTCTCAGGATTTACTATCTTAAGACCAAGAGCAGCCCTTAGTTTATGGCAAATTCACAACCCTCTGCCAGCTCCTACCACCCCTATCTTCACCCCAGCCCCAAAACAGACAGGAACAAATACTAGAAATTCTAACACTTTGCCCAGCAATCTAATGAAGTTAAGCGTGTCTAAGATATGATACACTGCATACCTGCCAAGTCCTTTAGTCATTCAGACTCTGATTAGAAGTAAAACTGATCACATTTGAGCAGACCACCGAGTTCTGAAGTGCTTCGAGACACGTTGTTAATGACCGTGAATGCTAAGTTATACAGACTTCTAAAAAATATGTACATTCATATTTAAAGAAATATTACAAGTCTGTGCTAGAAACCAATCAGTGTTAGGGAGGATAGGATGGGGACAGGAATAGGAACAATACTTTCTGTCCAAAACCCTTTAAATCATTTTGAGTTCTGCACCACAGGGATATGTCACCCATTCAAATTAAGAAAAAGCAACATCTATATCTATGGGGAGCCTTGTACCTGTTGGAAGATTTTTGCATGAGGCATAAAGTTATGTCACATTTTTAGTTTCCTCTGTGTCATCAGCAGGGGATAAAATCAGATCCCTTTGTAGACCAAGGACTCATAGGGATTAATTTGTATAATAACTACATCTTCTAGTTTCTGTATTTGATGCTTAGACATCTTGGGGCCTTGCTCATGTTGGAGGGACTGCACCTCCCAGGATTAGCCAATTCCTAGAAATAGTGAACAACTTGCCTTTGAGCCCACCTTTAAATGCAAACCAACCAGTGCAGAGCCCACAACCCACCACCTCCTTTATGGGCTCTCATACTCTGGGCCACTGTCCACCTGCCCTAATCACCCCTAAGACAGGTATCAGACACATAGGGGCAGCCCTGTGCCCCAGAGCCCACTGAATTTATTCAACCTGGCTAATCCGAAACCTGCTTACCCTGCCTTGCCTGTTCCTCTCTGTAGAAATCACAATAAAGGCTCTTGCCCACAGCATCCCCCCCTCCTCCACCTTCTCTGCCTCTTGATCAGCCCTGGTGTTTCCCCATGTGGCCCTGCTGGTGTTGTGTCTCCCTCCTCTTGGGGTCTGAGTACCAAACTATCTTTTCAATGGCTGTCATCTGATCTGTTGGCCTTGCCATGCCCATATAATCATAAAATCTATATTTGAAAACAGTATGCACCTGGAGTAGGAAACTGGTCTGCAGGAAGTACTTTAGCACCCCCGACGTGGGTCAGAAATTTCACCTGCAATAAAAATGCTTGTAATTTGACAGAATGCCCTCTTAAATGAAGACCAAGAATGCATTCGATCTCTGGGAGGAGAAAGTGGCTAAGGTTAGGACACATTGCTCAGGGCAGTTTGGCTGCCAGCACCCTGCATATATTTCTATTAATGAATGTTCTATCTGTGAGAACTGTGTGCTTATTAATGAGCCCCCAGTCTGCTCAATTACCAGGTAGCTTGTGCCCGTCTGCTGTCCCACAGCAAGGACGCAGACTGCCCAGCATGTCAATTCTGCAGGCTCATCAGAGGGCAGACCTAGATCGTGTCCTCATTGTGCATCTTCACTTCAAGCAAACCTCATCCGTGAAAGACAGCATCTATTTACAACACAAAGAGCAGATGATCCCCCTGCCTATAAATAGCATTTGCTGAAGGTTCCTTTCAAATAGGAAATGTAGGTGACTTTCATTTGATTCGCCAAAAAATTGTTTTAACTGCAAACCCCTATGCAGGGGCCTATCTAGTGAGTTTTCTGACATGATTCAGTAACAAAGGGGAGTGTCCAGGCCACCGCTGCCAAGGGCCTCCTGGTTACCAGGGCAGCACGAGGGACACGTCACAGGGGAAGAAGAGAGGCAGGTTGTTCTAAAGCAGTTTCTGGAGAAATGTGTGGGCAAGAGTGCAAACTTCCTACGTGAACTTGAACTCGTCTGGTATGGATTCTCTGAACTGACGGTTTAGAAGGTGAAACTTCCTCATTCTTTTACTTGGAAACCTTCTTGTCCCTGGAGTTTTTTTTGGTAACACTTCAAAATTGGGATATTTCACATAAAAAGTCAGATTTCCAGCTCCTATTGAAAACCTGGGAGGACTGGCCACTTTGGGCCCACACTCCCAGCTGGAACAGTCCACTAAACGGAGTGGTGCTGACTGTTCCTTTACACAGTGCACGAGCCCTGTGTTGGTTCCAGTCCCCACCACTCCACACTGCCTTCCCACAGGGACTCTGAGTGCCAGCGACCAATGACCACTGCACTTAAAGAAATATTTACCTGTACTTTGGATTCTTTCAAATGTTAGAATGAGAAGAATAAGCCTACCTGTGTTTTTCCAGGGAAAAAAAAAAAAAAAAAAAGGAAGCCAGAGAATGCTTTGATGTGCTTCACAGAAGAACAAATATCTAAACACCTGATCCCCCCCCCAGTCGAGGAAGCTCATGGTGCACTGACTGGAACCAGTGAAGAGGCTTGTGGAGCCAACCTTGGGCCCCGATGGGGAAATGAGGTCCAAGTAAGCAGAGGAGCTCGGCCAGCTGCTGGGTAGCGTGGGAGAAGCACCTCTGGGGAACAGGGATCCTGAGGATCACCAACTGAAACATAGATGGTGATTAACTAAACGCGGTGATTGATTCTAATCTTAACTGCTAGGCAAGCAGCCCTATCCTTGTAAAGAACTGAATTTACCCCACAAGAGAAGAAAGGCAACTGGCCAACCCCCATCAGCCAGCCAATAGCCTGTTTGAAAGCAGGATGCGTTCAACGGAGCACAACCGGAAGGCAGAAGGGAAACGCAGATCCCATGGAAATGCCATATGCTAGGCAGTCGGGTCAGAGGAGGGTTCCCGGGGCTGCCAAGAGGAACATGGAGAAGGGGGGCAACCCTAAGTCAGAAAAACAAAAATCAAAAAACATAAGCTGTTTGTTCACTTTTCAGTTTGGACAGATTATTCCCTAGGGTGAGAACAGAACACATTTCCTAAGTAACAATGAGACCAGAGTGCTCGGGGCCAGCCCTGAGGCGGCGGGGAATAAAAAGGAGCCATACCTTTAGACACCAAACATCCTAAATCCAGGAGTAGAGTAATACACTTTATTTAATTAAAATAGATTAAAAAACAGACCGTGTAAAAGAATTAGGATTCTCAATAATTTACTATTATTTACATTAGCAAATGTTGGTCGTTAGTAGACCCCATGAGGAGATAAGCACACAGAACCCAGACCTGCCTGCGCACCGCCCCCCACCAAGGGGCAAAGGGGGACTTGGCCAGTGCTTTCCTGTTGGTCTCCCTGCCCCCCCGCCCCCCGCAGGTGAATATGGCAATGACGTCACTGACAGCTTGGTAAACAGCAGGAGAGGTGAACCTCCCACAGCCCGGGGTGGTTCCAGCCTGGCTACCCCACTGAAGGGCTTTAGAGATGCTGGTAGGCCAGGCAGGAACTCTTTTCTCTGGAGGAGAATCAGTACTTCTCAGTCCCCGCTCACGGCACCTGATCAGCAATGATTTGCCCTGTCTCTGTAGCCAACCCTCGCCATCCACAAGGAACCTTCTGTAAAGAGCCCCTTTGGCTGACACCAGACCCACAGCTTCTGGAGAGAAGATGAAAAAGAGAAATGAAAGCCACACATCTGGGTTCCCAGGGAAATCCTGGATTACCTCACATTGCCTGCCTGTGTCGTCCAGACCGTGGCAACTCCTCACCACCTCCCAGGCCATGTTGTGCGCGCTTGTCGGGTGAGGGAATGGTGGGGAGCTAGGGGTGGCCGGGCGGCCGTGGGGGGCCCCTGCACCAGGGGAAAGCCCCGCTGCTCCAGGGGCAGGACACCCGGGCCTCCTGGGCACTGTCACTGAGGAGATACCCCCTGACCCAGGCCTGGGGCAGCAGGGGGGCCCCTGCAGCCGGGGCAGAACCAGCAGTCAAGGGCCCGGAGAAGGTGGGGGCCCACCAGAGACTCAGTCCAAAATGTCCGTCTCGAAGGGGACCAGGTGGTAATAGGATAGGTTGGTGACATAAGCGGCTGGGTCATCACCATCCTCCAGCTCTGAGGTAAATTCACTGCCATTCTCAAACCTGAAAAGGAAAGTTCAGAGGTGAGGCTGAGGTTGGCTCACTGACCACCATCCCCCACCAGGCCCACTGAAGTGGAGAAAGAAAGGGCAGAAGGCCATTGGCAAGAGGGCGCTTAGGGGTCAATGCCAAACGCTATGGAAGGGCTTTCCACAAGGCTCCTCATGAGGCACAGGCTCATTGGACCAACGAGCACGGCCTTCTCAATGCAGGTTTAGGAAGAGTGGGAAGAACCATGGTTACAAATCAATGAGGCAAAATGGACTCTTCTCTAAAGAGCGTAACAGCTCTGGTTGTTACTGCTTTAGACACTGCTATCCCTATTCGGGAACCAACATTTATTGAGGCATTCATTCATTCACTCGTTCACAGAGCGATTTTTTCTCTGTCCAGGGATCACTCTGTGTCGAGCTCTGGGGACATGGCAGGAAGCGAGGAAGGGAGCCAGTCCATGGGGACCGGAACCCACCCCGTGTGGGGCCCCCACTGACAACAGCACTGACGAGTGGGAAAAGCCACGGTGGTCACAAGCTCACAACCCAACCACATCTGGGGGACATGTGTGCCGGTGACTTCGGGACCGAGAACAGCCATCCAGAGAGGATCTGGGTGGGGGGCTGGGGGAAGTCGTGGAGGGAGGGTTCCTTCTAGAGGGGGCGGTGTATTCAATGGGGGGGCTTCCACGGGGGAGGGCAGGCAGGAAGTGCTGAGGAAGAGTATGTACTCCAAACATAAGGTGACTAATGCCTTCCTGACAGGGATTCCCCCACGAATTGAAACCATTTCCACTCCCCCGTCTAACCCAGACATGGCCTCCTAAGCTAGAAAACAAGGCTCCAGATTTTTAAAACGGAGAAACAAGTGCCTGAAGGACATTCTCCCCGGGAAGGGACACAGAGATGCTGCTTGTGCTTTCTCCATTTTCCTCAACTAAGGATCAGTCCCAACAAAGCGGGGGCAGGGTGGAGGCGGGCAGAGGCTCGCTCGCTGCTCTCCAGGGCTCTCCCTGGAGGAAGGGGCCCGCGGAGCCCACAGCACACCGTGTGTCCCTGCACTCATTCCTGGCACTTGAGGGCCTCACTAACTAGGACAGTTAGCTGGAGGAGCTCCACTCTACCTGGAAGGGTTGGGTGTGACCAGGAAGCACATAACTGAGACGGGAGCCGCAAGGGGGTCAGAGAAAAGGCCCAGCCCCCCCCCCCCCCCCCCCCCCGCAGAGCGCCCCTTGTAGCGTCCCACTGATTCTGACCATGGGGCTAACTTCCTCTCAGTCTAAGCTGGAAGTTAAATGAGGAGGAGGTTTGAAATCAGCTCGAAAAGGCCGAGGAGGCACATTGTCCTCTATCTCCACAGTGAGGGGTGTGTGGGGGGATGCGCGGGGCCTCCCCTCATCGGCCGCAGGGGCAGGGGCAGGGCCGCCTCCTCCCCCGACACTTGCCGGCCCCGGTAGCTGAGGCTGCCGAGAAAGAGATCTAGCTGCACACCAACACAAGTGTGCACAGCCTTCCAGGCAGCAAGTCTCACGGAGGTAAGACCACCTCTCCGACTTTATTCCAGGACGTGGTCTCTTCCCAGAAGCCAGCATTGGGAAGAATTAAAAGAGGACTCTTGGACGTAGACAAAGGGGAGGGACAGGGCCAAGATGCAGGCCTGCCCAGGTTCCTACCCTTCCTCCACCTCCTGCCCTCAGATCAGATGACCCTGAGAACCCAGGGAGGGAGGGGAAGCTGGGACACTGGGGAAAGTGAGTCACCAGGCCGAGTCCAGTGGCCTCGTCAGTCCCCAGTGGCCCTCAGCAGGCCTGGCAAATAGCTTTGCTCCGAACCTGTGAGGACAGAGTTGGGGACTCGCCTCAGCCCTGGGTGGGAGCCTGGCAACCACTCCAGCCAACCAGGATCATCACCAGGCAGAGGCCCCTGCAGGCCCGCTGACTCACACCCCGCTCCCGGAGTGCAATGGGGTCTGCGCCTGGGTTCTGGGACCTCCCTGCCCCAGAAACGTGGACACCGCCTGCTTGGATGCACGACACAGGTCCTAATGGCAGGCTTGACAGCGCTGAGTTCACAGTGTTGGGGCCAAATGGTCACCCTCAGGTACCACCGAGGACGGCTGTGGCAGGGAGGCAAAGCCTTGTTTCTCAAATGTCATCTCTCTGTGACCTCCCGTCCCCATTGTCAACCCCCATCACCCGCCTGACAGCCCCGTGGAGTGTTAAAACAGACTGCTCCCGAGAGACAGCCAGTGGCCGACCATCATCAGCTCAGCCACACTGCCCTACGTCAGCCACCCAGAGAAAACCCTGGCAAGCCCGCATCAGGAATTCCCTCTCAATGCTCCCCTGAGCCGTTCGGAAGCCGCCGTTTCTTTGTTAAGCCTTTCTGGGATCACAGAGGCTTTTCTTGCTCGGCTTCCTGCCAGCCAGGCATCCTGGAGCCGGGGGCCCCATGCTAAGGGTGTGTCATCCCTGCCCATGCCAAGCCGAGGGGTCACGTTACTACCCTTGCTTCCTCTCTGTGCTTCTCACAGTTCAACTTACTTGTCAAATCTGGCCAGGTGCAGGAAGGCCTCTGAGGCCTCCTAACGACAGAAAAGGCCCCCCAGGGGATACTGTGGAGCCAGAGCTGGTGATGAGGGAGGGTCTCCACCTGTCCCTCATCCACCAAGACAACCCCTCACCAGAAGCTCCTCCCATGAAGCTAAAGGAGCTCTCCTTCTGGTCACACATTTAATACATAGCAATCTCATACCCCCTCGGTGCCAGCCCTGTGCTGTCATGGACCCCCGGCTCGTGAACGAATGAGCTATCTCCAGACACACACCATGGGTAGGATGTCATGTGGTGTCACAGCAAGGCATGCAAAGGGACAAGGGCCTTTCAGAGAAGGGCCACCCCCGGCAGCTTCACCAGCATGTCCTCTTACACAAGCATTTCATGACATCTCCATGGTGAGGGATCCTTGTGCCATCCACCCAAGAGACATCTGAGAAACTGAGAAAGTGGGAGGTGCTGGCCAGGGCCGGTTCCATGGGCCTGTCGGGGCTCCCACTGTGCTTGATCAAAGAGCAAGGGTCCAGCGGAGGCGGCTCCAGCCGCCTGCAGGAGCTCAGGGACATCCTGGGCCTGGGTGTGTCTCCGCACAGGAGTCTGTCCTAGTGCGTGTTTATTTGCAGCTCAGTGGGTGGGGTAGGATGTGGGACTCCAAGGCCCCTGGATCCCAGAGCACACTGCTCATGGGCCCACAGGGAGACTCTGAGCACCCAGCACTGCCTGTGAGGACTCCTGGGCCAGGGGGGCTCCCATTTACCACCTGAGACCTTGACAGTGACCCTGGGAGGGCCTCAGGGGCCCCACTCTGAAGAGAAGAGAAGCCAGGAGAGGTGAAATGACAGCCTGAAGCTCACATAACCAGGAGGAGCCGTAGGGTTGACCTCGACAGTCAACAGAAGCCAAGTTGAGATGTCCCCTCAAGCTGCCTCCCAGTAAGTCCCAAGGACATGACCCGGAAATGCACCAGGGATGAAGGAGGCTGTGCCTTGAGGGGACCCCAGGTGTCGGGCTTTCCTAGAGCACTTACCACTTATCATGCTTAAAAGTTCTGCTATTAGAGAAGGAGGGACACGGAAGGCGGTGGTGTCTTGGCTGTCCCATCTTCACTCATCAGACACATCCTCCCTCCCCTCAGTGGCCCAGCAGGGCTAGGCTCCAGCCCGTGAGCCCTAGAGAGGTCACCTCAGAGTCCGGAGAACCTCCAGACCTGTGATGTGACACCATACAGGTGACACGTGTCCCCATCCCAGGAGACCAGGCCCTTGGGGCGAGGAGGCTTATGGCCACCATACCTCCTCAGGGCCCAGCACAGACCGGACCCTGAAGGCTGGCCCTCGATGCCCCCTCACAGCCAGCACCTTGGTCAAAGGAACTTGGTTCCCACAAGGTTTATGAAACAAGCTCTCACTGCCTCTAGAAAAGGCAAACACTTTAAATAAGTATCCAAATACAGGTAGGATGGCTCAATGTCTCCGGCCACATCTGCTTCCTCTATGGGCCATGAACTCCAGCCTCTGGCACCAGCTGACGGTTCAGGGATCCCTTCTATAAAACTATATTCAAATCAATCTACTTACAAATGCTCTGTCGGATCCACACCCAGGTGTTGGTCTTTTCCGTTTGGTATACTGTGGTCAATAACAATGGTTTCCGTATTTGCTAAGCAAAATCCATTGGATCTCATGATTTCTGAAAAATGAAAGCAATGAAATAAATATGCAGGAGGGGCCAGATTTTGAAGTTTTGGGCTTATACCAATCTCCCTACTTTCCCCTCCATCTACTGCCCCAAATTCTCCCCCACACTCCAAGAGAATGCTCTACGCCCCAGAGACCCATCCTGGAACTCCGCCACACAGACAGGAGGCAATGCCAACCTCCACAGAAACCACACCTGAGGACCCTGTGCAAGCCAAGGGGCACATCCCTCCTTCCAGAAAGATGCTCTGAATTGTACCAGCACCCTCCCCAAAAGCCTTCCCCATTGGTTTAAAGCTGGGGTAGAGAGAGTACTGAGCTCACGTCTATCGGTCTGGGTTTGGGTCTGGGTCCGTCACACCGCCATGAGGCTTTGCACAGGTACCCCATCTTCCCTGTGCCTGAGATGGGGATGACGCTGTCTACTGCCCTGGGTCGCTGTGAGGGTCAGCTGAGATCAGTATGCATTTTAAACCAAATGGGCAACTTCATTTTTTTCCTTTATATTAGTTCTCTACACAAATTGATTTTTTTTACCTCTACACACAAATTTTGGTAATTTAAAAAGGCCAACAAAGTAGTCTATGTTGGCCTTATGGGGTGAGCCTCCGAGGGTGGAGGCCTGGTGCTTACCCAGCACTAAGAGAGGAGAGGACAGGCATGCCTGGATGTGTCCAGCTGACACAGCCCCAGGCTGGGAGCCTGGACATCGAAGTTCAGCCCAGCCATGAGCTCCATGGTCTTGGGACTCAGTATCCACAACTGGAGAATTTCAGAATAGTATTGGATGATCTCCAAGGATCCCTTCAACTCTAAACTCCCAGGAATTACCAGGTTCCATCAAGCCATCTGGTCCATTTAAGTATAAAGAGTCAATGTGGCTTGACTGACTTCTCATATCTGGTGTAGCTTTTATTTACATTTCCCCGGGGAATGTGTTTCTGTCACTCCGGTAGATTAAATACGCTCCAAGAACTGATCTGGTGGCCATTGCCAGTTCTCCTTGGTGTTGGAGCTCTCCAGCCCTCTGGGAGGCTGCCTGAGCCCCTAACCTCAGCTCTTAGTCAGCTAAGCGCCAAGTTCATGGCCCTTGTCTGTCCTCAAATCAGGTCCTCTCCTTACCTCATCTTAAAAAAACATGCTTAAAATTGACTGAATTTCTGGGGCATTCTCAAATCCAAAGGTTTATCATCTTCCCATTCAGAGCCTCACACACAGAAACACACAGCTCGAAATAGCTTTCCTCTCCTACTAGCCCGGCACAGGTAACAAAAACATTCCTCACTGTCCGCGGTCTCCCTGGGCATCTGCCACAATCGTTTGGGGGACTGTTTTCTTTTATTTTCTTTCTTACATCTCATCATAATTGAGATTTTTTTTATTCCCATGCATGGATTTGCTTTTCTCATAAGTATAACTGTAACTTCCTATTTCTTTTTAATCTTTCCAGATATCTGGTTCTCAGTTCTTCGAATTTCTCTCCATGCGAAGAGAATTAGGGAAACAACACAAAAACAAACAAAGAAAAAAAGAAGATTTCCTCCTCAGCCCCACAGGAATAAAACGACACTTCATCAATCAGATTTGCCAAGTAATTGCTACCATCTCCCCTTGACTTTCTGCAGAAGTGACAGCTCATGGTTCTTTGGTCTTTTGAAACACCAGCCCCCTTAGTCACCCTCTCGTGACATCAGCACATTGCCCTTCCCTGCCGTTCCCGGTCAAAGCCCACACGCCCTCCCTGTGCAAGGACAAGCATGGAGAGCCTGAAGTCATGAGAAGGAGCACCAAGATCCTGTGAAAAGTCAGTGCTTGGAATCTCCGGGATCAACGACATTTCTACCTGCCAGAAGATGTTTACCCAAGTCTGAGTGAGACTCTGAAGAGGAAGGACTACATTGTAACAAGAAAGATTAAGATTCCCTCCCCTCTCAAATCAAAATGTAGCAGCACAGATCCACTTTCTTTTTTTTTTTTTTTAGATTTATTTATTTATTTTGAGAGAGAGAGAGAGAGTACATGAGTGGGGGAGGGTCAGAGGGAGAAGCAGGCTCCTCGCTGAGCAGGGAGCCCGATGCAGGACTCGATCCCGGGACTCCGGGATCATGACCTGAGCCGAAGGCAGCCGCTTAACCGACTGAGCCACCCAGGCGCCCCAGATCCACTTTCTTTATTGCTTTTCACTAACTCTGACTCAAATGTGTCTGTCTCAGAAGCACATCCAACCTCAGCCAGCTGACAGCCCCCAGCCCTTTCTGCCACCCCTCTGCTAAGGGAGTTTAGAGGGGGAAATCCTAAAGTGAAAGCACATGTCAGTGCAACAAAACATTTCTGACTGTGACAGAGAGTGACCTTGCAGAGGAACTTTCGAACTTCCTAATCTTTCTCAAATGTGAAATTTGGAGCTCTAAAGAAATGAAGTCCTTACCAGCCCCCACAAAACAGATTTGTAACAGATCACTCCTTAACTCCCCCTGCAAAGAAACCTCTGTACACAGTCATGTGGTTTAATGGTTTGCAAAGCAACCTGTAAACTCCAGTTCTGCTACTCATGCCTGGGGAGCAGGTCACTGCCTGCTCACTTTCTTCATCTGTAAAATGGGCATACTGGTACTCATCCTTAAAGCACAGGTGTAGAAGAAAGGAGACGATGTTTATAAAGAATCTAATAAATGTGGGGGCCTGGGTAAGTGGTAGTGGTGACTATCATTACTGCTAATGTCTTCATATCTGTTGTGTCATGCAAATAAACAGAACCAAAGAAAGTGTTATGATTACAGAACAGTGCTCACATCTGAAGCCCATCTCCAAACATGCATAAAATGTGAACATCTTAGAAGTCGGCTTAGTCCCAATAGCAAAAAGCACTGGCCAGTGTAATTACTTTAATCCCATATGTGACTGATTCCATGTAACAGTTCACTTTCAAGCGACTTTTCTGCATTCGTATTTTTTTCACATGAAGAGTTCTGCTTTGCCATTTCTTAATTTTCTATTTTGAGCTAATTTTAAGTTACAGAAAACTTACAAAAACAGTATAGAGTTCTCATGTATCCTTCACCAGCTTCTCCTGATGTTAACATTCCGCGTAACTATGGTGCAATGATCAAAGCTGGACTTAACTAGACACCTCCCTTACTGGAGTGTCCCCGGCTTTTCCACCAATGTCCCTTTCTTCTGTTCCAGACCCAGCCCAGGATCCTCTGCTGGGGATCCTTGTGTTGCTGTGTCCTAGTTTTGTGCAGCCTCTGACATTACCTCCGTCTCTCCTCATCTCCCATGAAAGTAACACTTCGGGAGGGGCTGGTGAGTTATTTTATGGACGGTCCCTCAGTTTGTCTGATGCTTTCATGTTCTGACTGATGTGGAGCTTTCCAGGCAGGAATCCTGCAGAGTGACCCCGCCTCCCCTCCCTGCATCCTGTCAGGGGTGTGATGGCAACAGGCCTTGTTCCTGGGCTGTCCATCAGGATCACTTGCATAAGAAGTTTCTGCCAGGTTCACTCTTTCTTTGCAGTGAATAAATATCTTGGGGGAGATGCATTGAGACTGTGCAAATTCTGTTTCTCCTCAAATTTTTCCCACTCATCTTAGCATCCACCAATGGATATTTCTTGCAACAATTACAGTTGACCTTGAACAACACAGGTTTGAAATGCATGGGTCCACTTACATGTAGTTTGTTTTGTTTTGTTGGAAAAATACAGTGCAGTACTATAAATGTATTTTCTCTTCCTTAGGTTTTCTTCATAACATTTTCTTTTCTCTAGCTTACTTGTGTAAGAATATTTAATACATATAACATGCAAAGTATATGTTAATCAACTGATAATGTTATCAGTAAGGCTTGACGTCAACAGTTTTGGGGGTGTCAAAGTTATACATGGATTTTCAACTGTGCAGGGGGTCAGAGCCCTTAACCCCTGCGCTGTTCAAGGGTCAACAGTATGACTGTGGTGTGCACCCAGTGATGATTTGTCTTATTTTTTTGGCTGTAGCTATGTTCTCATCTGCCCCATAGGCCATCATTCCTCCAGTTCGGTAATTCCTATGTTCTTCTTTTTCTGCGGACATTAGCTCAGTCCTGAAAGCATTCACGGTGTAGCTTCTCCCCATCCAAATCCTCTCTCCCATTATATTTTCAGTGGAGTCCAGCAATCAAACAAAACCCAAAGCACCATCTTTTTATCAACTGGCGAACTGGTCTAACCTTATACGGCGAAAATTAAGGTTGAGATTGAACAGATGCTTGGTTAATGAAATACAAAATTAGAATTCATTTCCAGGCCCCCGTCCCCCAAACCTGAATAATTAGATTTTTGCGGCTTATGGAGATTAGTCCAAGTAGCCAGATCACGGGTGGGGTTTATGCTTCCTTTTAAGCACAGACACAACCACCATGTAGAAAACTCTATTTAAGCTTTTCTGATTCCAAAAACATTTAGATTCACGTGGGAGGAATTTAAAGCTGTACTGGCCCAAAGCATCCCCGAGGAGGCCACCGTGTCTCCCACTGCCCTCCTGCGGCCCAGGGACGTGGCTAGCGCCTGGCGCCATCTAGCGGAGCCCCGGCCCCTAAGCCGTCTCCACGGCTGTGTGCTCGAGCCTCTGTGCACGCCTGGCCCTCAAGAAAAGCCCCAAACAGCCTAGGTCAGCGCCTGTCCCCCATGGTGCCACCTCCCTACGTGCCACATCAACAGATACAAGGCATTAAGAAATCGGAGAGGAAAGGAGGAGGAAGGGTGGGGTGAGCCGCAGGGCAGAGGCATTGTCAGGAATGAGTGGAATTTAGCAGGACAGGATGGATGGGTGGGGTTTGTGTGAACAGAGGGAAGATGGGAGCCCACAGCAGAGAAAGCCCCACCGAGGGGAGGCTGAGGGTCTGGACCAAAGGGTTCTATGGTGTCAGCATCAGAAAGCTAGAGTGAGCCAGACTCTGGCATGCTGGAAGGACTAGGGCACTTGGCCTTTATCGTAAGTGTGAGGTTTTGAGAAAATGAACCAGCCCAGGAAGTCAGAGTTCCAGGATGACCGACCTCAGTATTCAGGGTCTGTCCTGGGGCAGGGGAGGCTGAGAGAGAGAGAGAGAGAGAGAGACCTGTGGATATTCCCAGGTGTGGTCATGCTGCCCAGAGCCTGAAGCTTCGAGCCTGGGGGGCCCCGAAGCCACAAACACCCACATAGGAGAACAACACTGAAGAACACGGCTTGCCCATGTGTAGACTAGTTCTTCAAAGGGATGTTAGTGCTACTGTAAATAAAGGTGTCATTGAAAAGTATTCTTGAATTTACCGTAGTTCATTGTCTTAATATATTTCTTTCCTCACTCCGGGAATAACGAAAGTATATCTCACATCCCGGGGGGACACCCTGTTATCATCTGCATATCTACACACTAATTTACGGTGAGAAACACTTGCTCAGACAGACTGAGGGCTGGCTAGTCCTGGAGCAGAGATGGGGAGGTTGGGATGCTTCCACGGGAGAAGCCCCAGACTTGGTGCCCAATCGATCGGAGCAGATGAACAGGATGAAGGCCCCAGGAGACCGAATCTTAGCTCTGGAAGGGTGGCAGAGGCTTCTCCCAGCCTGCCAACCCTGCGAGGGATGCCTCTGACAGGCCCCCTGGCCTTTGCAGGGAGGCATGAGGCTTTCCGAAACAGACTTGCAATAGATATTTCCAGACTCCATTGTTGGGCGGAGCTCTCGTTGTTAGAAAGTGGTCTGTGCTGAGCCAATCACTGCAGTTACTCCCCCACCCCACAGCAGTGTCCCTGCAAGCTAAAACCTGTCCTCAGTCCTCACAAAAAGACCCAGAGAATGGGGGTAAAGCCTCACGTGGGAGGCTACAATTATCCCTGTTAAATTTCACCTCATTATTTTCAGCCCTTTAGGATAAACGTGGGTCATGCGTTTATCTCTGTCACAGGTAAAAATAGGACAGTAGACAGAGGGCTGGGAGTGTTCCCAGGTTGCTGCCCTCCAAGAATTAATGAGAAGCAACTCCACGCAGCCCGAGTCTGTCCCTCTTGTGCTTGGGGCCTTCGGGGTCAACAGGAAGCAAGTGTCCAGCTCCTGGCCCTAAAAGAGTTCTAGTGCTCTTTGCTCTCCTATTGGCTCAAAACAGAAAGAAAGAAAGCAAAACGGAGACACGGTGCTGGGACTCTTCTGCTCGGGACAAAAGAAGAGAGACTTGCCCAGGCTCTAGGTGACAGCACATAAAACCCACCAGGAGTGACAACTGGTGTCCCAGAGCCCTCGCTGTGCCCTTCAAGACTGGGGTCCATAGACACCCAAGCAGGGTAAATGACTGCCATTTCTCCTATGAAGAAGGTTCTGGATACTAGGTGCCAGTTAAGGAGGGATGCCCAAACACCCCTGCTCTTCTTCCTAAGAACACACAGGAAGAAGCTATGCTGGATAGACATCAAAAGTAGCAGACCCCAACAAACCTAGGCCTGCCAGCCATCCTGCACACACACAGCCATGTCCTAAAGCAATTTCCATTCAGGTCCCCGAACTTGCCCACCCTCTCCACCCATCCCCCCCACACAATTAGGAATCTCATCCCTGCTGTGACACATAGCTCAGTAAGGACACTTTTCTACCAAAGACATCTGCCACCACCATCCCAATTTGTCCTCTGTCTCCCCATCACTGTGAACCCCCAATGCCTTCTTAGGAGACAGCTCTGGGCTCAGATGCACTCTCATCTCCTGACTGTTCTTCATCAACTTCTGGGGTCTTCCTCCTGCGTTGCTCCTTCTGCTCTCCTCCCTCCTCCATTTGGAAACAGAATGCTGGACGCAAAATCCCTCTTCCTCTCCTTCCTTCAGATCAACATCTTCTGCAGGATCTCCCCTTGTGCCAAGCTCTATCTCCTCTTACAGCTGCCTTTCCTCCCTTTCCACCGGCCACACTCCTGCATGACCACACTCACATGCCACCTCTTTGGCCCAACCAAGCTGACTGTCCATTGCCTGGGGGAGCCCCGTGTCTGAGACCCTGGGACGGAGCTCTCTTCCCCACAAATGCACAGTAGCCTTCACCAAAACAGTAATGCAAAAATAAAAGTCTAGTGCTCTAACAACACGTGCAACCCAGATCCAGAAAGCTACCAAACAGGGAGAAGACCCAGCATTCCGCGCCCCCCTTCCATTCACCCCACAGGTGAGCCGGCCGGCAGCTCCTCTCAGCTGACATTCGCTCTTACTGCTGCTGACATTCGCCTCTTTGGTGCTCGAAGGCGTGGTCAAGTGTCAACGCTATTGACAGCTAAACTGTGTGCTCCCCTTTCTGTCCTGGGTGCCCTAAAACCAAATTCACTGCCACATTATGTGAACGATCTTATTTCAGCAGGCTAGACTCCTGATTGCAGTCGTTCACTTCCCAATGCCTCATTAATGTGTTCATCAGGACACTGTTTCTTAAGAAAGTTCCAATTGATATACCGAGTTACTCCCTTTGGATATTGGAGAAGTGTAAACTATAGGTCGGTGGGTGGAAAACAGTTTCATGAAAATCAGGTAACAGCCTCCACCCACTCTTATCATTCTTTTGGATCCTCTTTCTGGATCCCAAGGGTAGAAGGTGTGCCCAGCGAACTGGGAGGGTTTCCGGAAAACCACGGCCATCCACGGCAGGACCTGGCCTCCCCACGCCTTCCCTGTAGCTCTTACCTGATATTTTCACCGGACTCTGAAAGCTGGGTTGAATTTTATGTACGTTGTCATTTTTTAACACCTGATCCAAAGGAGATCTTTCAAAGAAGGTGAGCACAACTTCTGACCTGGAATACTGAGAATAAGTGCGTTAATGACTAAACTTGAATCCTCCCTGGAGGTGACCTCATGTGAGGCGAACGCCCCTGCGCTGTTCAGATGCTCGGCAGGACAGTGTGGCTCGGGGGGCCACACTGATGAGGCTGCAGTCATGGCCCACCTTTCACTTACTAATGTTCCCATGTGGCAAAAATGCAAGGCCCCAGGGACAGACAGGATGGGGTGAATGGAAGCAATGGTGAGATTTTCTGAGCGCTTGGTATATGCCAGGGTTTCGCACACTTGTCCCTTCACCATTTGATAGATTGTCAGTGTACTGACTTTCCCCATTTGCAGAGGAGGAAATGGACCCCACGGGAGTGAAGTGGGCCCCAAGTCCACCCAGGGTCTTAACCACCACTCCACACAAAGCTTGCCAACTTCATTTAAAGGCCATCTGCCAATGTGGATGCTAACACTCTCCTTGGCTCCCATACACCCTCTTCTAAAACACCCTCTGCAAGACCGGTGGGCTTCTGAGCGGAGGCAAGAAGGCAAAGACCATGGCAGTGGATGGACCATGTCTCTTCCTACTCAGCACCTCCTTGGCCCCTTACTTCCACTTCTTACCAAGGAGAAAACAATGGAGCCGAAAGAGCCCACAGAAGTCTTCCTTTCCCCTGGTTGTATCTGCCCCTCTCTGTGGCCTGATACGTCCAGGGAGGGAGCAAGCAAGTAAGTGAGCAAGTGCATTGGTTATCTGGAAGCTGGCAGGATGTATTCCGAGCTCCCACCCCCAGCCCTGAGCAGATCGTACTTACTTTGCACGGCATGCTTATGATGGTCTTTAGCAACTTCTCCACCTCATTAAGCCTGGTCTCTATATCGTGGGCATCCTTTATGGCCACCAGTCCTAGAATTGAGACAGAAAGCCTAAAGTCAAAAAAACAAAAACAAAAACAAAACCCAGACCAGGAAATGTGCTCCTAAACTAAATATAGAACAACAGATATCCCCATGACAAGGAGGCCACGGCCCAGTGTTCCCCCTCCACCTAAGATGTCTGAGAGTATTTATTCAGCCCTACTCTGAAAGCCCTGCTCTCAACCTCATTTATTTATTTATTTTATTTTTTTATTTTTTAAAGATTTTATTTATTTATTTGACAGAGAGAGATCGCGAGAGCAGGAACACAAGCAGGGGGAGTGGGAGAGGGAGAAGCAGGCTTCCCGCGGAGCAGGGAGCCCGATGCGGGGCTCGATCCCAGGACCCTGGATCGTGACCAAGCCGAAGGCAGATGCTTAACGACTGAGCCACCCAGGCGCCCCTCTCAACCTCATTTTAAGTTTCAGTGACCCAGTGAATGATTTACATGTGTGCTAGGGTGGATGATGCCCCCCCACACACAAAAGGAGAAGTCTGGCAGGCTGGGGACAGTGGAATGAGTGGGGAAGGCAGGTGTAAGCCAGGGATCAAAGTCCCCTCTGAATGGGACAGTCTGGGCCAGCCCCGTGAACAGCCTGGACAAGCCAGGGGAGGTGGCCCACACGTGCCCAGCCCCAACCACACGGTGGAAGGGCTTGCTCAGCTGGCCACAGCTCACCTCACCACAGAGCATATGTAAATGGAGCCCATATTTAGACGAGTCATTTAAATGCTTGGGTTTGGAAGGGGGAAAGTCAGATCTTCACCCAGAAAAAGAACCAAAGTGGGTATGACTCACAGCATTTCAGGAATCTGAACATTTACTCTCGTTACACATAACAGGGGCCCCGAGTGGCTGTTGGGAAGGAGAGACTTTTGTTTGCAAACTACGACAGCTGGTGGCCTGGAGCCCTGGGTGTGCTTCCGTCTCCCGTGAGCAGGAAAGAACCCGGGTCTCCCCGTTTCGGTTTCTACACATCGGCGTCCTAGGGATGCGGGAATGACATTCCCCAGACACTGGCCTCTTGTCCATACTTCATGCCACCCAGCATGACGGTCCCCATGAGCCACGACCAAACCAGGCGCTGGGGTCATCCCAGAACTATGATCAGTTGCTGAGTCTAAGGTTCTCAGTTCTGGCTTGGTTTGGTTTTGCAGGAGAAAGGCTTGGTTTTCAGGCAATTCATCGACTGAGCCTACAGAAGTCATCGAGTTAATTTCCTAAACTACACGATTGAACACAGTCCCTGGAACCAGAGGCAGCCCCAAACACAGGGCGAGGACATGTCTGAACGCCCGCGCTGTCGCAGGGGGGATCCTTCAAGCAGCCTGAGTCCCCGCCAAGGCCAGGAATGGTTCTCCCAACTTCCTAAAAGCACAGGCCGCCTCGGGTGTCAGAGGGGCTTGTCTGGGCCTGTCCGCGGGCCCACGTGGCCAGCCAGCAGCTGGTCAGGGGGCAGGAGCCCAAGGCGGCTGGCTGGGCCATGGCTCACCTGCTGAGCAACCTGGGGCCTCTGTCCACATGGCCCAGGCACACACCCCAGCATGACACCCCAGCAGTCACCGGAGAAAGGGACCGGGCCTTCTCTACCTTCTCCCCTCTTCCTTGGGTTACCGGGCCCCACCACACCCCCCTGCACATTCTGGAGAGCAGAGAAAAGAAAGGAAGGAGTGCCAGATGCTCAGGATGCTTCTTCCCCAGGCCCTGAATTCCTTGCTTGGAAATACACACACACACACACACGCGCGCGCACGCGTGCGTGCATGCTTTGCACAAAAATGCTTTCATCTTCTGCTTGCTACAAGGGAGTCTACACAGGAGAGATGCCCAATGCAAAACCCTCTGGAAAATTGTTTTTAAAGAGAGGACAATTAAATAAATCGTCCCCGGGCGCCTGGGTGGTTCAGATGGTTAAGCGTCTGCCTTCAGCTCAGGTCATGATCCCGGAGTCCTGGGATCGAGTCCCGCATCGGGCTCCCCGCTCTGCGGGAAGTCTGCTTCTCCCTCTGCCTCTCTCTCTCTCTCTCTCTCATGAATAAGTAAATAAAATCTTTAAAAAAAAAAAATAAATAAATAAATAAATAAATAAATAAATAAATAAATAAATCGTCCCCACCGAACGCTTCTTTATTCTAGGATGAACAAAACTATTATTCAAGTTCAACTTTCATTACCTCTAGAATACAAGTTTTAAATGAATCAAGTTGATGACATGGTGGTTGTATTTTTATATTCTGTAGGTACATCTGGAGGAAGATTAGCCTCTTAGATGATCAATGTATGCAGCATATGTATACCCATTTTATAGGATATAAATCATAATTGAACAATCTTAAGTTAGATTTATAATTCTTGCATTTTTGCCTTAGTGACATATTTTTGGGTACATCTTTGATTTAACTAATAATGTTCAGCCCACAGTTGGGTTTATAACCTCAATATATATAGTCAGATAAATACATTCTGCTCTATATTGATCTTTTTTTTTTTTAGGACGGCTTGATTTAGCAAATAAAACAGGACACCAAGTTAAATATGAATTTCAGATAAGCAGTGAATAATGCAATAGTATGGATAGACTTATACTAAAAAATTATTCACCGTTTATCTGAAATGCAAACTTAACTTGGTGTTCTGTATTTTATCTGGCAGTCCTATCTTCCTGGTAGGGTATTCTATTTTCCAGAACGAAGTATAAAAAGGCTAGAAGTACCCTCCCTGATCGACCCCAGCCCACCTTATAACCAGCTCTGTGCCCTGAGACTCCCCATACCCTTCTGCCAACCTCAAAGGTCCACACTACCCAAACACAACCCCCTGCCCTCCCCACCCCTCCAGGCTCACAGGTGGGAACATCGCACCCATCCCTTAAGGGGTGGGCGCATGCCGTCTGTTCTGTGAAGCCTTCTGCACATCCAAAGAGGGAACTCGAGCTGCCTCTGGTCTCCCAGAGAACTTCCCTGACCTCTGCAGTATTCACTGCTCAGCATTGTGACTGCTCCTGGGCCCGCGGGTCTCCCCAAGCCCACCTTGTGCAAACCTGAGGGGAGCAGGTGTCTCTGTTCCTCTCACTGTTGTCAGCCAGCACATGGCCTGACTCATGCAGGGGTTTCGATGTTTACTGGCTGTTTGTTGATTGATTAAAGTTGCAGAAGAAGGCACAGAAGTCAAGCATTAGTGATTTCCGTGGGTGTGCTCCATCTTGCCCCATAGGATAGTAACCCTAACTCATGCTTCTCAGCACCATGCTCAGCCAGCCCCCCCACCAGAACCTGCTGCCAAGCAGCTCAAGGTCACAGGCCTGACAGCCAAGTGGCATCATGTGTCAGTCATCAGCCATGCCGGCTTGATTTTATTTGTGGAAGTGTGCAGAACCATACCACTTCCTTTGTCCTGTCTTTATGTTCCTGAACGCCAGCCAGACAGTACTCCTTGGAAATGTAAACATGCCCCCAAACAAAAGGAGGCTCTGGAAATTTAACCAGGCAAAGGAAGATGCCAGAATCCCTCGCTGCAAGAACAGAAATGACAGGTGACTGCTTTTTAGCTAGGTCATACTTTATCATTTGCTTCTCCATCCTGGCTTCCCGGGTGACAATCAAGCTGACAATGTGGATCAGCTTCCTTACGATGCTGTCCTCCTTTCTCTAAGGAAAGGCATCCACCAGGAGACAACCAGCACTGGCCTCTTCCCCAGCAGGGGCCTCAGCTAATCAAAGGCGGAGGGATTTAGGAAATGATGGATCCAGCTGAACGCTGTGAAACCCGCCTAACAGCAGCAGATACCTCAGCCACCACCACCAACCAGAGCTCAGAGCGCAGCTAGCCCCCCAACACCCCACACACGGGCATGAAAGAATCACTACCCTCCAAGTGGCTCCCCGCAGCCTAGCCTTTCCCTTCACTCTGGGGCCCCAGACATCACCCTTCTCAATGGTTTTAAAAGTGCCTCCCATCAAAAGATGGCTACCTTACATGTGTTAGGAAAATATTTTTAAGAAAGACAAACCCACAACAGCCACAGTGCAAATATAAACTAAATCTTCATTTTAAAATTTCATACGCACAGGGGTTCCTTCCTTCAGACTTCTCGGTTTCATAATGGGTGGAAAATTTAGACACCTACGGCGAGACCCGAAATGATTATAAATTCTCAAAACGTGACAGCGCTGAAAGGTGAAGTTGCGAACAGAACATGCACGTGGGACATTGAATTACTTTTCAGGGGCAGGTGGCAAGAACCGAGCTCATGAAGGACTGCTACCCCAAACAGATTATACGTACTGGGGTTTCCTTCTACCCTACCTCCTGTCTTTTTCCTTTGTGACCCAACAGCTTTGGTATTTAATGGCTGGTAAAGCTTCTCCAAATAGGACTGTTTACAGTAAATAATACTTTTAAAACTTATTTTCAAAAATAGGCTTAAATACAATAACCTAAGTACTTTTGGCTTTTATGTTCCAAATATTGCGGATGGAATGAGACTTGTGTGGGGATCTTGTCTGACTCCGTTTTCCTATCTGTGATGGAAATAACAAAAACTGTAGGCTGGCAAATGGTTGTGATGCTGCACAATTGAACAGAAAAACTAGCGCATCTATTGGTTATGAGACTGTCATTCCAGAAGTAGCCAGCAGGGGGTGCTAGCACTCTGTGGAACCAACTGGGTTTAGCGTAGAAGTAGACTCAGAAGACTTCACAGCCCCTGGAAATTTTTCTAATTTCTGATAAAGCATAATCACTAATATAACCTCCATTTGTAAAATTTCACTCTACCCAGTTTGTGATGTGGAAATTTTAACCAGATTAGCCTCAAACAAGTAAAGATTTGAATCCGAAAGACGGATAACACATGATTACGTATCAATTACGGTGTGCTGATTTAAATATATTTGGGGGCCAAAAATCAGCCTAGAGCAGCCAGGGTGCCCGCCCTTTCTTTCCAAACTACTTTAGCATTGAAAATTGAGAAACTAAAATGTGATTCT